CTGCTCAGTATGCGTAGGCCTCAGAGCCCGACTGACTTCAGTGGAGCTTTGTGCTGGCGTAGGGGTCTATCCCTGTCGAGTAGTTTGAAGGATCAGAGACTTAGGCTGGTGTAAATCATTGTAGTCAGTTGTAGTGAGTTACAATGATGTAAAATTGGCATAAATGAGAGGAGAGTCAGATTTATTATATACCATAACTAAGTATGTTTCCTTTATGGAAAAGTCCTACAGAACTTAATAGAGATGAAATCAGTAGGATTCTACAGAAACAATTCTCAAAACTCTATAGAGATTTATATTCCTTCTAAAGACTTGTTTAACCATACTTCAGAATTCTATAGCAGGGATATTAGTCTCTTAAATTCTGTACTATGGTGAGAAAAAACTGCTGATCATTTTTAGTTAATATCTGTACCTCTTTTTCCATAAGAATTAATTATTCAGAGTGAAATACTCTGAGTAAAATAACTTTTACAGAAGAGCGATCCAAAGTTACCAGTAGTAGGGAGCTAGATTTGTTTTAAGGCGTTGCCTTTATATATGGCTCACAAATTGTAAAGGCGGATATGATATATATAAAAATTAAAATGACAACATTTACTCGTGTTGCAAAGAAAATATAGCAGTTTTGTAGTGTTTTTGGTATGATTTTCATTGCAGGGTTTCTATTTGAAAGTTTATAAATTAGACACGGTTCTAAAACATATTTAGGCTTGGAAGGATTCAATTTTTATTGGTAAATGTCAATTTCACCATGTGCACACAAACCAACAAAAATATTACCTTTGATGATAATCATAATTTACACACAGGCAAAGAAAGAAAAATGTTGCTTGAGAACTTAGAGATTGATTTAAGGATATTTACTTTGTATATTTTGATGTGTGATGTTGATAATTTTGTGTTTTAATGGTTATAAAGCTTTAACTTTTTGAATCTCATTAAATAATTATTGGCTGATCCGCAGTTGTCTGACACCCCCATTAATTGCCACAACTGAGAAAATTTAAATTGATAAAAATAGGAAAAAATGTTTAAACCTATAATTTTTGCACAACTGTGAAAATTTAAGTAAATAAAAATTGGAAAAATGCTAAAAAAACATCAATTTTATCTGTTAAAATTATTTTTAAAAATCGAATCCCTGCAACCATAGACATACTAGACTGCATGCCTAATTGTGAACACTGTATCATTCATTCTGTTAGATCAGTTTGTTACCTGACAAAATTTGTTACTCAAATATTTGCAACCATAGCATGAGTTTTTTTTGTTCCACTGCGTTTCTCAATAACTCAAAGTTGAGGTTCTTGTATAATTCTTAAGCCTAGAATTTTAATACATTAGTGTCATTTCTCTAAGTCTGTTCAGTACTAAGATCTCTTAATGCTTAACAAACATTAGGTCTCCCACCTCCTTCCTAATACTCCGGTGATTGAGGAAAGTATCAGTATTATCCCCAATTTACAGATGGCAAAACTAAGGTGTAGAGAAACATAAATTCCTAAAGTAATACAAATCATTAGATAATTTGGAAATAGAATTGAGATCTTCTAACTCCCAGTTTCTTCTTATAATCACTAGGAAATGCTTCCTCATTATAAAACATTGCCAACAAGTTTTTTACGTACAGCACACAATTTTCTAAGGGCGATTGTGGAGAGAGGAGGTGGAGAAGAAGAAAGGTTCGCTTGTGATAAAGTGGAAAGCCTAACATCCAAATGAGAGGGAAAAAATTAATACTGCTCTCTGTGTCAGTGTAAATGGTGGCTGCATTGTATGGTATTGTTGTCCACTCTTCTGAGCAGATGGAATTTGCAGTTGTGTGTCACTTGTTCATTACATCCTCTTAAAATTAGTAGCTGTGTGGCCAGATGGGTCTGGGAGCACAGCTGTGGATACAAGAAAATAAATGAAACCTGTCTGATGCTGCCATGCCCTTTTGAGATACTGAAAGTGTTGCAACTGCAACAAAGCAAAAATCACGTTCGTTTAATATGTTAGTAAATTAGATGTAATTCTTTTTTTAATCAAATCATATAAAATGAGATAAGGTTCAAATTATTGTATAATTCTAATAGGAAATTCTAGTTACAGCCTATAACAAATGCCCTAAGCAAATTTATACAAACAATTTAAACATTTGTTTAGAAGAATAAAAATCACTTATAAATTAGAGCAACAAGGTAAGTGAGGTAATGTCTTTTATTGGACCAACTTCTGTTGGTGAAGGAGAGCTCTGTGTAAGTTCAAAGGCTTGTCTCTTTCACCAACAGAAGTTGGTCCTATAAAAGATATTACCTCACCCACCTTGTCCCTTTAATATCCTGAGACCAATACCGCTACAACAATACTGCAAACAACCTAAAAATTAAATCGCCATCCCTGTAGAACATAAACCAAAGGGTTCTCATAGAACAAAGATTCATACAGAGCATAAGCCAAATAAGCAGTAATATTTCAAAGTTTATTAGGTGACATTTGTTTGAATTATTGATCCAACATTCTGATCAAATATAAAATGCATTCATGTAAATGCAAATGAAAGTGCAAATGCAAATGGAGAAGAATGCCAGATCATGGGCCTGATTTTAAAACGTTGGAGCTAGTAAAAATTTTAACTCCTTCAGGTTTGGGGACACAATGAGGTATGGCTATTCTACACTTAAAATGCTACAGCAGTGCAGTGTAGACACTACACCCGTGGGAGGTAATCCATTTTCCTGAGAGGTAGTAGCTATGTCAACAGAAGAAGTAGTGTCTACTCGGGGACTTAAGTCAGATGAACTAAACTGCTCAGAGAGTGTGTTTTTTCTGAGTGACATAGTTATACCAACCTAATTTTTTAGTAGACCATGCCCTAATAAGAAGGCTGAGGTCAGTACTCAGGTTTGATAGCTCCTACTATAGTTTCCTTCCCACTGTGGCCCTATCTATGGATCTTTCTTGCTGACAATGTCTATCTGACCCCCTCTCTGGCTGTTTTCAAACCCTGCCATCAGTCTTTCCTTTTCATATTACTACACACCTACTTAGCTCCTCTTTTCTCCTCCTATCTGTTTATGTATCTGGATGGGTGGTTTGATGCAAATGATTTATAGATGGACCATTGGACCACGTTTTTGGTTTATTTTTGGTGGGAGTGGTGAGTATTTGTTTTAACAGAGTTCAGCTGTTTTTATTGAGGGCCCCCTGTACATGATTTAAAAATAAATCACGACAATAGGCAGTGAGGTAACGTGTAATCACCCTGGTCACCAGTGGAAGTGACAATTTCCATTTATTGTGGCCGTATAACAGTGCAGTATTCGAAGTCATACTCCATATTTCACTGCCTATGAAAATGGTAGTAAACACTGTATAACATAGAAGAGTATGCCTCTCCAGTGAACTGAAAATATTGTTTTTTAATAGAACATTGTCTTTGGAAGTCAAGCATTTTGTGTTGTAAAGAAGTATTGTTATAAGGAGGATAGTTATACTACAGTTTAATACATTTGGGAGCCTAAGTTAAGTAGCCCTAAGAAAAAGAGGATATGATAACAGACAGCCCTGTGGCATTTACTACAAAAGCATTTCTTGAATTCTGAAGCCTACTATAAATCAAGTACACTGTAGAGGATTCATTTATTATAATTAAGGCAGCTACAGAAGGAGAGAGGGAGTTAAATGCAAATGCAAACTCTGGTGCATTATTGAAGTGAAGATCATGGAACGGTTTTGTCCTGCACTGAGGGATTTTGCAGATTGGTACCATGGCAGATTGTTTTCTGCTAGGTTGGGAGGTAGGAGTAGCATTTTTCATTGATATTAACTGTGGTGTGATGCTGTGGACAAAAGAGCTAACGAGGTCCCTTGAATGCATAAACGGGAATCTCAACTAGAACCAGAGAGGTTATTTTACCTCTGTATTTGGCAGTGGTGCGACCCCTACTGGAATACTGTGTCCAGTTTAGATGCACACAATTCAAGAAGGGTGTTGATAAATTGGAGAAGATTCAGAGAAGAGCCAGGAGAACGATTAAAGGATTAGAAAACATACTTCTAGTGATAGACTTAAGGAGCTCAATCTGTTTAGCTTACGGAGGAGAAGGTTAAGGGATGACTTGATTACGGTCTGTTGATATCTACATGGGGAATAAATATTTAATAATGGGCTCTTCGGTCTATCAGAGAAAGGTATAACACAATCTAATGGCTGGAAACTGAAGCTAGAGAAATTCAGACTGGCAATATTAAGTGTAACTTTTTTTTAACATTGAGGGTAACTAACCTTTGGGACAACTTACCAGGGTCATGGTGGATTCTCCACCACTGACAATTTTTAAAATTGGATGCTTTTCTAAAAGATATGTTCTGTGAATTATTTTGGGGAAGTTCTGTGGTGTGTAGGGTGACCAGACGTCCCGATATTTCGGTGTCTGTCCCGATATCCGCCGTCACTGTGGGTTTTTTTGCTCAGCCGTCAGGACTCAGCCTTTTTTTTTGCTCTGCCGGCGGGCCCCTCCCCACCATGTGTCCCGATATTTTCTTCCCCTCATCTGGTCACCCTAGCAGTGTGTGTTATACAGGATGTCTGATTAGATAATCACAATGGTGCCTTCTGGCCTAGGAATCTACATCTCTATGAAAAAAGTGATCATATTTCTAGAAAATGCAAAAATAGCCAAACACAATCCAAATTCATTGCTCAAATTTGCATTGAAACCTACAAATTCTTTTATGAACGTTGTCTGTGTTGATTGCCAAAAAGGATATGTCTGGCCACCAAAAATGGATCATCTCATTAAGTACAATTTTTCCATAACATGCTGAAATGGTGGCAGAAAGAAGTGTTAACTAAAAAGACACTTGGTTGTGTGAACTATATAGTCTGATGAAAACTTAACTTCTGCAGGCTTGATACAGATGGAAGGTAACATTTGTTCCTGATCTATCTGAAATGATGATACCGTGTGTAACATTTTATCGTTTTGAAAATTTTTCTCTCGTTTGTACAGGAAGTTGCCCTTGTCCTTGCAGCTATACTGGTATTGCTGTTGGCTTTCTACGCTTTCTTTTATCTTAATCTATCAAGTGAAGTTGACCTTGATCTGGATCCAAATGAAAACTAGCAGATGCAATGTATCTATCCTATCATCAGATTCTCTTCAGGAAAAGCAACTACCTTGAACAACACTGCTTGGGAACACACAGTTCTAATGCATAATAATACTATGCAATATCTCAATCGCTCTTAAAATTCATATCTGCAGAACAGGCAAAGAAGACTCATGCAACGCAAGCTGCTTAAGTTAAAACAAAAGCTGTACTATTATGAATTAAATGAATTGTTTACATTATTTGTTTCTCAGGCTGAGAACTCTGATGCCAAAAGACAGTTTTTTGCATATTGGTGCTGGTATTGAAAAGGGTAGATACTGACTTCTGGGTAGTCTGTCCTAATGTAAATCCATGAATCCAAACTTCCCAATAGTGAAATTAGGTTTCCTTTTTTAAAATACAAAAGAAAAAACAAGTCCCCAAATAAACGTTGCTTTACTGATTTGTATTTCCAGGACATCTGCACCACCCTCAGTCTTGCACTCTCTCACTCTTCACACATGGAGGAAGTCATAGGTAATTTCTCTTTTTAGAAACAGTCTCCCACTTCCTGTAGGGCCTATTTTATATCCTAGATTCTATATGCACATGTATCTACAGTAATCTTTTTTCATTCCTTGCCAACTGCTCAGTGCACATGTGCTCTGTCAGAAATGGCACCTGGATGACAGAAGCTCGAACATTATTAACATATGCCTCTGAAACAGAGTTCCTTGCCTTTTGGGCTGAGTGAACTGATATATGTAGAAAGTTCAGTTGATGTTGATTTTAATTAGTATACTGCTCTATTATTGATATAAAGATGAAATTCTATTTTAATTATACTGTTCCTGCTAATTGCAATAGCAACTTGCTTCTCTCATTAGGAGGATGTGGTAAAAAATTGTGTTCCAGTTATACTATCTTTTTCCCATCAAACTAATGTAAGGGGTTGTACCAGCTAACAAATCTTTTTCATGCATACTCCCCAAAACTGGAAGAGTCTTGACTCCCCGAGAACTGTTAGAAACTCTGTTGGCAAATTAACCCTAATTTCTCTTATATAACAGTCTTATAACTAAGGGATAAACCACTGAGTTCCCTTTGTTTAGTAACTATTTTTGGAAGTGTCCAAGTTAGACTTAGATTTGACATGAGGATTTTGGAGGCAAAGAGAAACCAAAACATAACTAATAGTGTAGTATATAAGACTATGTTTATTTTAAATTGGCCCACAGCCCCATTATCACCACTTAAAACCTGGTTCAGGAATTTAGATCAATATGGCTAATTTTTAGACCATACAGTATTGATGCCTATATACCCTATGAGTCTCTAAGGATACACTTTTTATTCGGTTTGTGTAATACAGGACACATTTCATCTAGAAATGCAGAATACACCAGCATCTCCAACATATGTATGAAAAGCAAATATTATACTTATTTCTCGTTCTCTAAATTGTGACTTTTCAAGTCACCAAATCCCCCAAATCATACATTCTTAGTACTTGTAGTCCAGTAATATTATATATGCCACCAATGTGTAGCAACATATAGCACTCGGAGTGAAGCCTTTTATGACATGTGGCATTCCTTTCAGTGTAGTGAAAGGCAATCACAAGCTGGCATTTTGGATGTGACATGCCTTTCACTTCACTGAGTGCCATACCACATGTCTCAAAATGCTGCAGTCCTCTTTCATTTTGCACGAGCAATTTCCATTTTCCACTAACTCACAGGATGCTGTAAGGATTATGTAGCTAATGTTTGTACAACGCTTTGTATGAGACATGCAATAGAAGTGCTAAGTATTTTATATTGCCATATATATTGTGTTCTGAAACAGTTAAATGAAAAGAAGAATATTTCTAACTTAAAATAGTAACTTGAAGTTATTAGAACAAGAACATTTCCCATATTGTGTGAGTCACAAGTAAAAACCAAACTACATCTGTGGATGAATGAAATTTATATATTGGTTTATGGACCACAAGACCCCTAGACTAGAAAGTATCACAAATCTCCATTATGTTCTCAAGTGCTGCATTTTGCATTTGGCTATTTTTCATTCAGGTGACAGACATAACTAAGTCACATGTAACTAGAGAGTTGCCTATTGCTTAGAACATCTGAGGAGAATCATGCCCAGTGCACATGGGAATATATGGAGAATATTGCAGCAAATACATGGAAAATATTGCACTTGTGCTTTCAGTCCATTAGTTACAGACAGGGGGTTGTTAATAGCAGATGTCCCAGCTTTAGTCAAACTACCCGCATGTTTTATTTTTTAATTTATAAAAACAAATGCATTAAACGTAGGGCCTGAGTTGGGTCTTGCTTACACCTCTTTTCACAAACTCCTTTGACTTCAGTGAAATTACTCCTGCTTACTCCTAATTACTCACACTACTGTGAGAGCAAAATCTGGCCTGTGATTATGTCTCCCAGTATACCTTTTGGAGCACAGCAGGTATCCATTCCTGATATCTTTAAGTGAAGTTGCTTTTAGCACCTCAAATGCATGCTAGGTGTGCACTCACTGTCTCTCTCTCTCTCTCTCTCTCTCTTTCTCTAATGACGATACCTATGTATATATCTGAGATCAGAACCAATCCCATAATTTTTTAGGTCATTTGTCTTTGTAACTGTAGCTCATGGACTATTTTAATAATAAAATGAATTTTTAAACTTTGTACTTTTTGAAAGCGCTTATTAATGTTGGATCTGTTGCACTGCTATGAAACGTACATTTGAAAGAACATTAAATTAGCTTAGATAACACAATATACAAGTTTGAGCAGTACTACCAAAGAATGCACAGTTTATAAATTTTGGAGCAAAGCAACTGATTCCTATCCCTGGTTTAAATGTTGAAAATGTAACAGAGAGCTTCACTTCTGTTCTAGTCTCTTCAAATACAGTACATTTTACAAATGGAAATGCTCTGTTTTGGTCCTGATCATATTAAACGGATAGAAAATACTGTAATAGTAATTCTATATGGCTTGCTACCACCTTGAACTTGACTCAACTCCATGGGGCAGCTACAAAATGAGGAAGTTCAACTCTGGGGATAGAGCAGGCTCCAGTATTGCTGCAGCTCGCTGCTTATGGAGTGCATCTTTAAACTCCGGCCCAGGCTCCTAGCCAGCAGAAGCTGCTTAGGAGATGCACTGACTCAGAGCAGCTCCAGCTGGTTTAGGCTTGTCTGTCCATGCCCTCTTTTTGGGCAGTGATGAATGGCTCTAGGTCCTGCAGAAGAATGAGGGTTGCTGCTCTGTTTCACCTCTCCACTTAGGTAGATGTTTTGCCTTTGGAGGGATTGTAGCTGCTAGCAATGATCCTGAGTAATACAGCTTGGTTCAGTACCTCTTTTTTCTTTGGCAAGTAAAAGCAGAATTTGGAACAATGTCAGGAGTACAACAGAAGCCTAAGAACTCCATAATGGTGGTTACAATGGTACAAATAGTACAGGATGTATGCATTGCCACTTAGTTACTACCTATATTTGTAGTAATCCATGAATGTGTTTTTATTGGAAATGAGGGATGCACTGTAATTATCTCTCTAACAAGGGCCTCAGAGATGTATTTAAAATTTCATTGAAGGGTTCTTTATTTAAAGATCACTGAAGCTTGTTAACTAGGCACCATGTGATCCTGTGTATATCATAGCCCTATCAACTTACCCAATTAGCTGTAGCAATGATGACATATATAAGGTTATGCATTTACATCTAACTGAGAACATATGAGATAGTTCTTTTGTTTGCTTAGGTTTTCAGGGTAGTCCTTGACTCTGGATAATAATTGACTTGCCCACTTGATCATAGATTATATTTAAAAATAAATAATTTAAATGACCCTTTCTAATGGGATAGGGCAGAAACTGGTTCAGTGAAATTTACTACTACTGAAGGGGTTCATCACTTAATTTAGGGCTAGATTATGTACGGTCCGTTTGCAAATGAGCAAGAAGCCTCTAGCAACTCCCAATGGGGAAGTACTCCATACTGTTCCAACATGGGCTTGTGCCTATAAGGCACAATTGAGTCCTTATTTTTCAAGGTCAAGTGGAATGTGCTTAAAATCAATTTAGAATCCCAACAAACAGAATAATAAAGATTTTATGGCATTTAGAGTTTTATATAAACTAGCATAATAACCAGTGATTCCTATGACTAAGCAAATAACAATATGGGATTGCAATAAGTCTGCAGAAATATGGTGTTTGGACTGCTTCTGAGCATACTAGATTATGCTTGCATTTGTAGAAATGAATCCATAAAATGAATAAACTGGCAAAGATTGTGTGTACAACATGGAGTTTGTTGACACCCTGGGAGAGGGGAACAGACTTGCATTTTTTGCAGCACTGTGCTTCTTCCCTTCATCCTACTTACTGCTTACTTTGCCTTAGCACACCAGGCTATATGTTTAGTACATATTTCCAAGAACAGAAAAGGATTTTTATACAGTATGTCAATGCATTTAATTGACAGCATCCTCTTCTTTTTTTTTTTTTTTTAATGACAACCAAATTGGTGAAGAGACAGCCAAAATGTTAGGTACCAGTGTCTCTCAAACAGATGTCACGCCATTATTTTTTAGCTCGTTTAGATGAATAAACATGTTAAACTGTGAAGTATTACATTTTAGATTTTTTCATTAAAAATAAGGACAATCTGTTTACTGTCCCTAATTGAGACAACAATCTTGGTGGTTGCCAATTTTGACAGTTGTAACAATGAACTATAGATGTTGGGACCAATCAAATAACTGGTGATAGTGAACGATAGTTCATGTGAAAGGCTCCTTTTTAATGGACACTTGTTTCATGGATGTATTTTTTCTAACTTCTGGAAATATAATCATGTTATATCGGTTTTGCATGATAAGCCCTCCGCAAAAAATCATTCGAGCAATAGATTTGTTTCTATGTCTTTTTATTAAATCACCCAAAATATGAATTACAGTTCATAGATGGGCCCAAGTGACAAAATCCATATTTTACTCCAAACACTCACAAAGGAATGTTTGTTCAGAACCATTATAGAGATCGGCCAAGCATGGACTTTGGATCTGCTGAAGTTTGGGATAATTTTAGAGGGGAGCTTGGATCTGGACGAGGTTTGATGATCTCTGATAGAATATAGGGATTTTAGAGCATAGAGGCATGAGGAGCGAGGACAATAGAAAATGTGATGATTGGCTGATGTAACCCTGGTGTCACAATCCCACTGTGACAGAGAGAAGAAGAAAGGAGAACTGATTATCACTTTAAGTCTGATGTCAGAAATCTTTTTGGGAGGATCTTGGGGGTTTGGATGAAAGAGAGAGTGTGTGTGTGTGTGTGTGCGCGCGCGCGCGTGTGTGTCACTCTCCTGACTTTGATGCCTCATCTCTACAGAGCTTATCCCCCTGTCCTGAATTACAGCAGCCACGGGGTTTCTCTCGTGTATACCAGCTGCAAACAGGGCCTGAAACGACAGCTGAGCATTGACATGGCACGGGGGCATCCTAGTCATGTTCCTTTTCTCTGGATACACCCTTTCCCTCTGTTACACTAACCGTAGAGAGGGGGAGTGGCATAAGAGCCCCTATGCTGGTTTACACCATCAGATGATCACCTGTGCACAGAGTTGACCCTCCCTGCACCTGTTGTGCTGGCTTTAGAGCCAAATTCCACTGATTCATCTGAGGTTTTCTGGAAGGTAAAGAAGAGCAAAACACAGTTCATCCTACATGGGGAGAATCTTCTACCACCCTTCATTTGTGATTTGTTATCACAAATAGTTGGATGCTCTGATATTTGGGATGTGTGTTCAGATGGGCAAGATGCTAGAAAAAGGTTTTTCCTATTCAAATTTCAGCAATCATGACCAGCGCTTGTGTCTACACAGGTATTTTTCTTCTTTACTACCCATGTGTGACAAGTTGTAAAAGCCCTCCATCTTGTAAGGATAGGTTCATGCCTATCACCAGCCTCCTCTGGTGAGGGTTATGGAAAGGAAGGGAAAGCTGGAGCAATGGATGCTATCCTGGGGAGGAAAGTATCCTGTCTTCTCCCCGCCCTGCCAGTTGAAGCTGGAAAGGCCTCAGCTGGCTATACCCATTAGTTTGAGATTTTTTGTTTGTGTTTTGGAGCTAAAGAGATTCCTGAAGAAAGGAAGGTGAAGAGTTCTGTAGCTGGGACTTTATATTTCCTTCCCTGGCTGGTGAGTCTGCACATCAGCCCACTGTTGTGAGAAATGCAATTTATTAAGATTCCTCTCAGGTTGTAATCTTAAAGGTCTCGAATTTGAACTAAGATGGTACCGTTTTCGACTTGAAGCAAGGCTGTTTGTAACAGTTGTCTCAAGAGTTCTCACCAGCTTAATGAGCTGGTAGCAGCTCATTTTAAAACGGCAGGCAATCATATGTGTCTTTATCTGTTCATTAATCATTGGTATTCTCAAGCTGCTCTGCTCCAGCAATTCTTTACCTTTGTGCCACTGTATCTGTCCTTCAAATGCTAGCAGTTTGTGATATACAAACAAAAGAACATGGGGGTTCCTCCAAATCTTTACTAAATTCAAGAATTAATTCAAACACAGGCAACTTTCTTAGGGCAGATTACTAAATTTTCAAAATGATTTATGTTTATTTTAGAAGGCACAGCAATTTACAACCTGATCTACACTTGTGAACATCTGACAATCTTGCTTTATTCTTAAAGACTTTGAGTACGATCTTAACTTTAAACACGAGTAACCTCATTGACTTCAAAATTTGGTTGTATTCTTCATGAGAACACTTCACAAAATAACCATTGTCTGCTTTTAATTCGTAGGAAATTTGCTTTGTTCTTAGATGATATAACTTGGTCACCAGCTGGAAACTGAGGGAACCCTTCCCTCAAATTCCTCAAAAAAAATCCATTGCATCGGAAATTTGGCATTTATGATCTCTGCCAGAGGGGAATATGATGCTCAAATTCAAGGTTGGTCTTAGAAGAGATATGGCACTACCAAAAGAGAAGTTTTGTTCTCTTTTTAGAACCCTTTTTAATACTTTGAGTTAAGTATCTAAACTCCTCATGAGCAAAGTTTACCTTCTGCCTTCAGAGATTTTCAACCAGATAGCATGCGAGACTGGAAAGTCTGAAATACCACACAAAATAGAATTTGAATGTAGATGCTCTCTCTACTTTACCACATTGGTGGCATATTCAGAATACATGGTGGATGGTATGTGATTATAAAGGCCATGTCTACACATTTGAGAGAGTTTGTATTAGTCATTCATGGCTGTGGCCATCTAAGACTCATGCTAATAAAAACGTTCTTTACCATACCATGTCATTAATATTAGTATTTATGTACACCCATGAGACACAGCTGTCACTTTATATAAATAACCAAAGGTGCTAAATCTGAAGCAGAAGATATTGTCCTGACCAAGGGTGTTGGGATGAAAGAGTAATTCTCCAAGGAAGAGGGGATTTGGACAGTGTGTAACATGTACAATTAAGAAAACAATATGAATATTAAGGGCAAGATCTTCCATGTTGTTACATGCCTGCTAAGGGATGTAAAGAGGCATAGATGTCCCTCCTTCCCCTATATTGTATATGTGCGCTACTGCTTACACTGCAAAGAGGGAGAGAGTAGCTTCCATTCCCTTCCTGCACAGCTCAGTGGAGAGTATGTGAC